CCAGGAACCTTTTGAATACATTCAATTAAACAGAATGGGATTTCATGACCATATTGCCCAGTTTACCTGTTTTATATACTCAAATTCAATTTAACAAATACAGATTGCAGGTGTATCATTTACAGTTGAATAAATATGGTGTTTAGACTTGTTCCCATAAAAATCTGGGCACTAGGATCTTGGTGAGGAACATAATTTCTATTATCATATTGTTTCTGGGCAAAAACAGATTCAACCTGCATCACTTTTACCTGCAGTGCCTTTTGCAGGAATGTGAGGGCTCCCTGCTGCTCCCTGTAGCTCTGCCATCTGCAATGTCCTCCTGCCTCTCTCCTTTCTCTGTGATCCAGGGGTGTCTGTAAACCCTGGGCGTTCCCAGAGGTCAGAGGCCAGGAGAAGACCGAGGTTTTGTGTGGCCCTCTGAAGAAAAGGTGTGAATACAAAATGAGGTTCAATGGTAATGTTTCTTTAGAACTGGAAAAATCACAATAATTTACACAAGCCTTGGAAATTCACACCCCTTTCTTGTGACATTTCTTCATGCAGCTTACCAGAAATGCTTACATAAAAATGCCTCCTGTTTGTAAACTGGCCTCCGCTTGCCCTAGAGAGCACTCTGTGACTCCCAGATCTCAGAGCCAGTCCTCCCTTCTCTGGCCCCCAGAGAGAGCAACCCTACAGCTGAAGCTTCATCAGCTTCACCATGAATCTGCCTCTGGCAGGGTCCCTGTGTTCTTTCACTGTTGTCCCCTAATAGTGAGGGTACAGGGCTCTGCTGTCACTGAGCCCAAGACAGGAAGAGGTCAGAGAGCAAAGGTCATCACAGGCCAGTGTGTTCAAAGCAGGACCCTTCCAGGCACCTGAACCAGAATCACCTGGAGAGTTTGCCAAAAGGCAGATTTCAAAAACTGTGGGATCTGATTCTGGAGTAAGAAGGATGAATCTGCATTTGTATACTGACTAGGTGTGCTTAAGCTGGAGGACCACTGCTCTAGGGCCATACTCTCTATTTAGTTGGGTCACTGGGGGGACAACAGTCCACAGTGACTCCAAAGGTCTCATCCAAAGCCTCCTAGGTGGGGGGCAGGCAGAGGCTGCATCCAGCAGTAGAGGGTCTACTGAAGGAGGTGGTACCACACCCCCTGCCTCCCTTCTCTTCTCTGCCTTGGCTCATCTGCCAGGCTCCAGAAGCCCTCCTCCCTCACTGGCCCCCACCACACAAACAGCTCAGTGTTTGACACTACGTTAAAGAACCAAGTGGGACTGAGCCAAGGAGCATTTGTAGGGCTGCATCATCCCAGCATCCTTCTCCAGAGGCTCTCTGCTGTTACAGCATCCCTTGGGGGTCCCTATCAGGAAGTTAGGCAATGAACTTAGAGAGAGAAAGGTCAGTAACAGGGTCATTAAGTCCTCTGGGTAACTCCCTAAGAGCTTCCAAAGGACTGAATGGAGCCCTGTCTTTTCCCAGAAAAGTGCGTGGCTCAGAAGGATAGCCATGAATCAGGAATGGCTGGTTCCTGAATCAGGAATGGATGGCTGTGAGAGAGGAGACTACCATCTCCTGAGAAGTGCGATAGGTCAGACACGGTGCACACTGCCAGACACTAGCAGCCCTGTCTCCTCTCGCAGCCATCCATGAGTGTGAATCAACACCTGATGGCTACTCTCAGCTCAGGGAAGTGTTTTAGGGCAGTGCAGCGCTTTAGACTCTGCTCAGCTCTACTGCGTACCGCTGACGTAAATATTAAACTGTTTCTTCTCCTATCAGAGTCCTAGGGTGGGTGAAATTTTTTCTTTTACATTTTATTTATTTACTTTTATACAGAAGGGAAGGGAGGGAGAGAGGGAGAGAAACATCAATGTGTAAGAGATACATCGATCACTTGCCTCTCACATACCCCAAACTGGGGACCCAGCTGGCAACCCACGCATGTGCCCTGACTGGGAATCAAACTGGTGACCCTCTGGTTCACAGGCTGGCACTCAATCCACTGCGCCACACCGACCAGTGCGGGTTAGTGAAATTTTTAGTGGGCTCTTGCTTAAATGTGATTAGCACCATGCCTTACACGTCGTATATGTTCAACATGTATTACCCGCTATTACTTGAATTAATATTATTACATGAGAAAGAACTGGAGCTCAGAAAGTTAAGCACTTTTCCCAAAGCAACACAGAGGAAGTATAAGCAGAGTTTCAAATCTCTGGTTCTCAAATCTATATACTTTCCTCAGTCCCATTGGGTTGTAAGTTGTAAGAGATTTGGAGTCAGCTCAAGAGAAGGCTTCCCTTTTCTCTCCCCATGGGCAATGCAATTCTCTGAGCCCTTACCCTGCGTGTGCCTTACAAGGTCTGTCACGTAGGAACCACCCACTTGGCAAGTATTACTTGCTTTTACCCCACTTATTCTTCAATAATCAGGTACGGAGTACCTACTGTAAGGTACTAGCCTTGACTCAATGCTGTGTGGGACAGTCTTAGCCCTCTGGAAGCTCGCTGCCTGGGAGCTAAGGTACACTAAGATACACACTAGGCCCTGGATGCGGAGGCACTGGAGTAAGAGAGAGTTCAGACTCTTGAGCTGGAAAAGGACTGGTAACATTTCCTCCTTTTCACAATCAGTCTATCTACAGTCACGTTGGCCTTCAAGTTGCTGAGGTGGGTCTACTGAACTGACAAGGGACCCAAGCACACTCAAAAGCTTGGAGTCAAGTTTCGACCCCCTTCAGTGTCAAAGTTCTGCTAGGTCTTCCTTACAAAGGCCCATTGCTGTCTATTCTCACCACTCCCCGCCCCTTCCTTCCTACAACAGCCTCCTCACTAGCCTCCCATCTTCCTGACTCTTTCATCCCAGATCACATGTGCGCACGAGCCAAACTGCTCAGCCTGGCAACCCAGACTCTCCATCAGCTGCTCCACTCTGCATATCCAATGAGGTGTCAGAGCAAGGACACTGTGAGTTCAAAGAGAGTTCAAATTCTAATGGCAGGTTTTAAACTCTTTGAACCTGCATCCTTTTGTCTGTTCAGTGGGGTAAGAGTCAGCTCAGAGGATACAATGAGAGCCGTGAAAAAGCACAGCATCCAACAGTAGCTCTGTACATTCCCTCCCTGCTGTACCCCAGACAACCCATTCCGCTCTGCTCGTCTCCGCTTTCCTGCCTTTGCTGGTCTGTGTTTTCTCTGCCAGTTCAAATCCTATCCCTCCATCTGGATGCAGCTTAAATCTCAACTCCCCCATAAAACCTTCCATGAATAACCCTAGGTCAGGATGGCTTTATACTCCACAGCAGGGCTGGAGGGTGGTGGCATGGGGGTGGCTCCAGAGGTACAAGGGGCATATAATGCACGCTATTGAATGCATGAAGTGAGAACCCTCTCCGTGCATAGAGAGCAGATGTTTTCAAGGCAACTTTATAAAAGCCTCTAGGCATGGAGTCACCACCAGCTGTGCCCTTGGAAAAGACAGAGCCAGAAAACTCTGTCCTTGTTCTGTCCAGAGCTTACCTCGCCAGAGGCACTGAGCTCAAGCCCTGGACGAAGGAAGACATCCGGGATGCCCTGCTCAAAGGACTCCCCGTACCTTGGATTCCATCCCACCTACGTCCCTCTCGTGTTCTGCAGCCTCTGGTCAAGACTCATCAGCGGGTGCGTCCTGTCTTGGAGCTGAGCTTGTTATGTCCATTCTGAGTGGTCCAGGCGGAAGGCCCTCTTAGGCATGGGCCTTCAGCCTTTGCTCCAGCAGGAGACCCACTCTCCTAAGCCCAGACTAGTGGTAGGGATCCAGCCTTTCTTTTCTTTTTTTTCTACTTAATTTTTTTTCTTTAGCGTTTCCCCTTTCTTTGCTCTCCTCTGCCCATCCCAGCCCACCCCCGACTCCCGCTCCCACAGTTAACCCCTACATGTTGCCCATGTCCTTGGGTCATTCATACACTTTCTTTGACTAATCCCCTCCCCCTCTTTCCACCACTCCCTCCCACCCCACTTTCCTCTGGCAGCTGTCAATCTGTTCCCTGTTTCCATGTTGCTTGTTAGTTTATTTTGTTCAATATATTCCTCTTATAAGTGAGATCATATGGTATTTGCCTTTCACCTACTGGCTTACTTCACTTCACATAATGTTCTCCAGTTCCACCCCTGCTGTCACAAAGGGTAGGAGGTCCTTCTTTCTTTCTGCTCCATGTGTATATGCAATTTCATTGTGTAAATGGAATACTATTGTGTAAAAAATCACAGTATTTTAATCCAGTCATCTACTGGTGAGCACTCAGGCCATTTCCAACATCCGGCTATTGTAGGGGTGCCTACATTCTTTTGAACTGGTGTTTCTGGATTCCTGGGATATATTCCCAGCAGTGGAACCGCTGGGTATCTAGCCTTCCTAAGCCACCAGGAAGCAGCTCAGAACCCACCTTCATCATGGTTTGGCTCCTACTCTCCTTCCCAGCGTCCATAACACCCAGCCTGCAAGGTGGGCGCTTCCCCGAAGCCCGGAACCTAGAGCACTTGTCAGCTCCTAGCACTAAGCAGATGACATCCTTTGCTAAGGGCCAGGGTGGGATGTTCCAAGGTGTGGGAACCTGCTCAGGGGGCAATGCTGGAAAAGCGCGAGGAGAACTCTGGGTATTGACTCCATTCTTTAAGAGGTGCTTGTGTCCACTGAACAAATTCTAGCCCACCCTTTGAATTCCTTTGTCCCCTTTAACTTCGGAAGAGTAGACCCTATTGGCCTTTGTAAGAGAGTAAGAGGCAATATCAGAAGAGCCACCTCCTTCTCCTCTCAGACCCAGGCCCCCACACCTACTTCTTTCGTCCAAGCCTTTCATCTAAGGCACAAGAACACCGCTGGCCCCACCCAACTCCTCCTCCGGGTGCGAATGTGTGTTTAGGGAGAAGGTGAGTCTGGCCACTCAGGAGTTAAAATGGCAGCGGGACTGAAAGGGGGCGGCGTGGCATGCAGAGGGGGAGGCGGCGACCGGAGTGGGCTGGGGAGGTTGGGAGAACAGCAGAAAAGCGAGTGAGGAGGGCGAGCGAGCCAGGAGGAGGGGCGCGGGGCGCCGCGGGGGCCTCCTGGGCGGACTTGGCCGCGCGGCGCGCGGTGGGAGCCCCCGACTCAAGCCCGCAGCCTCCAGCCACGATTGTGAAGGGCCGCGCAGAGCCCCCGGGCGCGGGGCGCGGACGCGCGGATGCGCGGATCGTTGTTCGGCGGTCGCCCTCCCCAACTCTGCCCAAGCACCACTCCCAGGACAACTCCTCGGCGGGAAGGCGCTCTGGAGCCCCCTCGGCCTGGGCGGGCGGCACAAGGAAGAAGAGCCCAGCTCAGGTTCCCCAGCTCAGCCCGGGCTGCACCGGAGCGGCGCGGCGGCCCCGGGACCCGGACCGCGGCCGCAGGGTGAGTGTGCGGCTCAGGGCTAATGCCGGGCGGCGCTGGGCCCGCTGGCGCGGCGGTGGGGACCTGGCGGGAGCCGGGGGAGGACGGCCGCAGGCGCAGCTGAGCTGCCTGCAGGGGAGCTGGTGACTCGGGGAGGGAGGCAGCCTGGAGCGCCAAGGGAGGGGGTGCTGGAGAATGTAAAGAAGGTGGCCAACTGCGCGGGCTGCACCCGAGGCGGAGGGCGAGGCGGCATCTGGGCTGTAATCCACCCCGAGGGGCCCGACCCGCCCCAAACTGTTGCTGGGGAGAGCGGGGCCCTGAGATGTCGGGGAGCCGATAGGTGACTGAGAGGTTAGGGAGGGCGCAACAGGGGCTGGCAGCGGGGTGGCAGCGCTCCAGAACCGCGGAGACTTTCCTTCCTTGGAGCTCCGGCGTCCGTGCGGAGGATCAAGATGGCCTTGGTGTCTGTGAGAAGTATCTGGAACCGGGAGCCAGGCGCCTCCCGGGCTGGCAAGGGTCCGTCCGCAGCCTGGGATGGGACTTTTGGGTTGGGGGATGGGCTGGCCCTGGGCTCAGCCTGGGGGCTCTGAGAGTGGACGCGGCGCCGGGAGAACCCCTCTGCTGCGCCCACCAGCCTCCAGGAGACAGGAGGGGTTGGCCAGCCACAGGTGGTCCGTCTGTCCTGCAACCAAGGGCGGCGCAGGGTCTGGCTGCTGAGCCAGCGAGGAGGTGCCGGTGACGGGGGCTGAGCTAAGGTAAAGGTGCGAGAGACCCGACCCCTGGGGGTGTTGCTGTGCGTCCCCCGTTTTCTTCCACCCCCATCAAATGAAAGGAAGGAAAATGTCAGCTGGGCTTTGTGCTCTGTTCGTCAGGCTGCCGCAGCTCCCATCTGTTGGAACCAACGCAGCTTCAAATGGCAGGACTGGGTCGGAAGGGGTGGGCCGGGCACAGCGCTCAGTGGTGGGGTAGAACTGGACAGACCCTCTGCTTGAGGATTCCAGGAGGTCGGTAGTAGAAAGAACTGCCTCCCCAGGTCTGGAGCACAGAGGATGCTCCCTGCCAGCTTGTTCACCGTCACTGAGAGATCTGGGTCTTCTCACAAACCCAGGCACAGGGCAGGCTCCCCCTTCCCCACCAGACCGAGATAGGCTCTGGCCCAGTGCAGGAGAGGGCCAGGATCCCCTTCCACTTCCACTGCTCCTTAAAGGTCCCTCCAGCAAGGAGCACTGGGCATGGGCTGGGCAAAGCTGTGTACAAAGCACTGAGGCCCCCTTGCTTTTGGGTCCTGTTGTTATCAGAAAAAAAAGTCACATGTGGGAGGCCTGACCCACTTTCCTGGCTGACCAGGTGCTGCTGTGGGGAAAAGATGGAGCGAGAAGGGCACAACTAGGGCTCCGAGCCTTCCAGGCCCTTTGCCTCCCCCTGAGCTGGCTCGCCCTGAGTCTCCTCCTTTCTGCCTAGGGAGTCCCTCTGGAAAGTGTGGAACTAAAGACCACAGTGCTCCAGGGATTGAGACTGGCCTAGGGTCAGCAGGTATCTGGTGTCTAAGAGTACCCCCAAACCTACACCATCCCCCCAACACAGTCTAACCCAAAGGAGATACCGAATGGCAGTGAGAACTTGGAGGTCTGCTAGGACAGATTCCAATCAGACTGAGACAGGTTTCCTCTGTAACTCCCTGTAGTTCCTCCGCATCCCCCCCATGTCCCCCAACCTCCCTCCTCCTTTTTCTCCTTTACTCTTCACTCTCTTCCCTCCAGCATTTCTTCATCTCTTTTTCTCCTCACAGCACTTTCCCTCTCTTTCACCCCCCTTTTCTCTAAGCCTTCTTTCTCCCTTCCTCTCTCCCTCTCCCCCTCCATCCCTCCCAGGTCTCCTCGGCCACCTTAGCACCCTTTCTCTTCTGTAAAAGTGCAGCCAGGCCTGCGTTCTGCTCCAGACACCCCGACATGGAAACGCGTGCGCTGTTGGCTGTGCTGAATACCCTCTGCAGAGGAGGGGCCAGGGCCGGTGGGCCTGGCAGCTGCATTTCCCTGGCATGTCTCCTGTACCCCGCCATTGCCCCTGCTACCCTTTTTTTTTTCTATTTGAAAGGAAAAAGAAAATCCATTGCTTTTTAAACAAAATTCCTTTATTTAACAACTTATTGAGCACCTACTATGTGCCTAGCACTATTTTAGGAGCTGAGGATACAGCAATTAAACAAACTCCCATGTCTCAGGGCAGAAGTAAACTTGTCTCTGGACTTCCCAGCTGATTAGTCTGTGCCCACAGGCTCTTTCAAAGACCCCACTGCTTGGCGGCAGGGATGGGAATGCGAACAGTCCTAGTGAGTTACCATCACCACATTGGGTAACCTGTAACATGACAGGCCCATCTCCTTACCAGATACCAGGTCCCACAAAGTTTACAGACCAGGGCCATCCTGTCCTTAAGACATTTCTGACCCAAAAGGGTGGGTCGGTTCACATCCACCTCTTTTCTGGGAGGGCTGAGTAGAAGTCCAGTGCTTTAGACACAACAGGGAGACAGACACAGCTTTGTCGTTGAGCACCTACTAAGCACCAGTCTGTCCAGAGCCGCACAAAGATTATCTCATTCAATCCTCCTGACAACCTTCTAAGGCCTGGATTACTATCCCCTGCTTTGTAGCTAAGGAAATGGAGGGCCAGAGAGGATCGGCCACTTGCCTCAGGTCACACAGGTCTGTGTTTTGACATCACTGATTGTCTGCAGTTCATCTTGCCCCTGTGGTGTCTGTGACACCTGGTAAGTTGTATAGTTATCTGAAGATTACAGTTTAATTGAATTTTTCAAAAGCGTGCCTTGGCTTCTCACTTAGAATATGAGGATATATAAGGATTTGCTGAACACTTGTATGAATAAGCTTTCCCAAGTGATCAGGGAAGGCTTCCTGGAGGAGATGGGACCCTGAGAGGGAAGGCAGGGAGGGCCTTGGTCTTCCTGATGTTACAGAGATGTACCACAAGCTGTAGGCAGGTAACCCCTGCTCCACACCACCACCCTGCATCCAGGTGGAGTTGATGGGAAATTGCTGTTTTCACTGAGGGTCAGGAGGTGGGAGCTCGTCTGTGGCCAGTCTCATGAGTTAGTGCCTCTTGGGCAAGCCTGGACTCTATAAACGACTCTAAGACAAAGAATGGGGTGGGAGGCACTCAAGCCTGCAAGAACTAAAGGGAAGGGCAAGAGCGAGGGCAATGGCTGGAGGACGGATGGGGCAGGAAAGGGGGAGAGTGCCCAGGAACAAGACCGGTGGAGGACAAAGACAGAAGGTAAACTGAGGAACAAAAAACAGAAGGCACGAGGCCTGCAAGCAAAGACATAAGCAGATAGGACAGACAGCAGCGTGCGGTGGGATTGCTGAGAGGGGGAGTAAGAACCACACCTGTGCCCTGTACTTCCCTGTACTTTTCTCAGTCCTCCAGTTCAGAGGTCAGAATGGTCACCAGATTAGCGTTATGAAGGCAATCAACCCATCTTTTCTAAGCACCTACTGTGTGCTCAGACCTGTGCTAGAGGCTAGAGGCAAAGAGACAAATCAGATGTTGCCCCTGCCTTCCAGGAATTCACAGTGAGAGCAGAGATCCTGGAATGGCGCACGGGGGCTTGGATCCAGGCTTCACCACTTACAGCTGAGTGACCCTGGCCTGGCCGTCTGAGCTCTCTGTGCCTCTGTTTCCTGCTCCATAGAGCTGTCGTAAGGATTCAATGAGTTAATACAGGTAACGAGCTTAGGACAGTGCCTGGCACGGTAAGTGCTATGTAAGCATATTATTACTGTTATTGTCCAGTGGGAGAGTCAGTGTCACAATCATGAAACAAGCGCTATAGTTCAGGGACAAGCAGCTGAGGAGGTGACTGCCTCTGCCTGCAGATGAGGGAATGGCTCTCAAAGCACATAATATTGGGGGCAGGGCTTGAAAAGGAGTCAACCCAGCAGAGGTAACGGGCCCGGGGACACTGGTGCCCCGTGGCACCAGTGTCCGGGGCACAGGATTTGCATGTGAAAGGGTGCCACACTGTGTATGTGTTGCCTTCTATAAATTTCAGGAACACCTTGCGCATGTCCCACCTCAGCCTCTGTTTCCAATGCTTAAAGCTGAGCTTCCAGTGGGGCTGACAGGTCACCCAGAACATCCCCACACTGCCCGGCCTAGAACAGTTGTCCTTGGGCCAAGGGACCTAAGGCATCCCTGCTGGGATTGGTTTCACGACTATGGCTTCCTTAATGTTCTGAGCCAGCAAGCAGTCTCTGCTGCAAACCCAGAGCAGCTGTGGCCCTTGTCCTCTGGCTTCTTGCACTTCCTAGGGACCCAGCAGACACCTTGGGCTGAGGGAGCTGCCTATTCAGAGGTGAGCTGAACCAGGTTTGGTTCAGAATTTAGTGCGTCTCCACACATTTCTTCCACCCGCACCTTCCCTGCTGCTCAGTGTTTGATGGACCCGAAATGAGTTCCAAGATGAAGAGCAGGCAGAGAGTTCCTGAGGCAATAACCGTTTCTCACCCTCCATCTCTCACATTGTAATGGCACTAATTACAGCAGCCAGCATTTATTGAGCACTTACTATGTGGTAGACACTGTGTCAAGGGCTTTACCTACATTATCCCACGAAATCCAAAAACATACCCCTATTAGGTAGGTGCTCTTATTACCTCTAATTTAAACTCGAAGGAACAGAGACTCAGAGAGGTTCAGTAACTTACTCAAAGACATTACTAGAAAAAAAAAAATCAGAGGATTTAACCTTCTTTCTGACCAAGTGTTCTTGCTCCTTAACCAGTCCTTGGGCCTAGAGGGTGCTCTGGGGCCATCCAGTCCATTCTCCTCCCTCCCTACAGTAAGAAGCTCCCCAAGTCCTGTCCAAGCCAGGGGCTGCCTGTCCACTTTGGGGGACCTTCAGAAAGGGTATCCCCTCTTCCTCCTGCTCCCCCAGGTCACGACTCCTCAAGAACTAACATTGCTTCCTTCTGCCTCATTCAAGTGCATCAGGGACCACGC